TCTACTAGGACTGAGGTATGCACATATTGCACTTGAGTTGTATTTTATTTAATTGTACCGTAGTTAACGCCCTGGTTGTACCAGGGCGTTTCTACGTGTTACTCGAGACTCACAATGAGTCTGTCGTTTGCATAAATAGCTTATCGCCACAGTTGAGTATAAAGCCATATCTGCCAACGGTTGGGTAATCGGATGGTATGCAGGCTACTTCTTGTAAATCGGCTAAAACAGTTTGAGCACTTTTTCGAAAGCCGAATGTAGGAAAGTACGCAGTGGGATTTGCTAGATATATTTTTTCTGTGATCGCGTCATTGCGGTTATCAGATAATCTGTGATATTACCGCCTTCCAGCACTTAGCAAACGGCATCTGCAGCACACACACTAACGATAAGACATCACTGTTTTATTGTACATCTTATTTGTGTATCATTCCACCTGGTAACCGTATTGACGGCGTTTATTTCCCGTTTTCTCTATCTGTTGTTGATGCCCACACTGACTAAATTTATAGCTGCCACTTTTAGGTTAACGCTTAAATGTTAACTAACCAACGACAGTCGTATTGGTTGCTTAGATAATTATACGTGAGATCTTCCAACACTAGTGGAATATGGCTGTTTTTCTTACATTCAATCCATACTCGCGCACATTCGTAGTGTTATTGTTCATGAGGGTTATTATTTCTTCATCTAGTTTGTGGTAGTCCATACACAAGTGTGAATAAATGTCCGTTCGCAACACTGCAACTCGAACCAGTGACCTTTGGCATGTCAACTGATATCTCATGTTGAATGACTAAGTGGAAGCCATTTAGAAACACTTGTAAGCGTCACACTTCAACCTGACAGACTGATGGCATTTTCACTTACGCGACGCCATTATCTGCTGGCTCGATATCTAAATGTGACTCGACTAAATTACAAGTCCTGCTAACATCTATTCGTATCACGATACATTCCCACTTGACAAATGGATCTTATTACATTTCTTCTCGTGTGACACCGTGACTTATTGCGGGTTGCAATATGAGGTCAATGTATCCCATCTCAAGTGTCTCTGTACGCACGCCCCCTTGTACTGCTGCCGCCTTCAGGTAAACGCACTGAGATTCAGACAAGTCATCAAAGTTGATTCGGGAACAGCGGCAACACGTTGTGACATCCAAATTGAAATGTTTGGGCACAGGTAGGATTCTAGACACTGATGAATTGGTCGACACATGCTAGCGGTCAGAACAAATGACCAGGGGAAAATAACTAGTAACACACGACGAACTGCCTGATGGTTCTACATCCCTGTTGATTCTCGCTCACCTCGGACAAGAGACGATTATAACGGGCTCTGGTTTTACCTTATGACACGGGAAGGCTGCAGTGGACATAATCGCACTATTTCCCTGCTAACTTGCAAAGTTGCTTACTCCATCTACGTCATTTTCTTTGTGTCATCCATATTCTATATCCCGCATGTAAGTCGCGTTTGGGTACAGTTTCATTCTAAAATGATTAACTCCTGACTTGGTGCGATGTGGTATCATTATTGCACATACCTAGAACGGATGAGCCACAGGTAATCTAACTTTATTAGGCTTATTTAACTCGGTTGTATTTCGCGATGACTTCACATGTTACCCATTATAATATTGTACTCAACATGACCTATTCTTGCTACCTTCTCAAGCGGAGTCTAGTATGGTTACATACCGAGACAGTGAGCTACGGCATCTTCCTCTTCGTATTAGTATCCGGCCGCGATTCACATCACTATGTAAGCTCCATGGTATTACTCACCAGACTATGCCATATAAATTCTGCTCCTTGAAATCGAATTGTAGGCTACATAACCGTAGCTTGACCAGCTGCTCAATGCTAACTAGCATGACGCTTAGAGAGCCGCTGCATCGCAGAAAAATGCTTCAGTCCATCCATGAGCTCATTCGTAATTGACGTGGACGCGGTGTTTCCGAGCGATTTGTGTGCTTGATACTGATCAATGCTAAGGTGGCAAATTATGGTGTATGTTTCCATTCCGATAGACACGTTTGAATCAAAAGGTTATCACCGCTTGGTCGCTTACAGCACGCATAAAGTGTCAACTTTGACATTTGGAACACAATGCTCAACCATATATATGGTTGGCGGCATCCGGTTTCGGATTCGCCTGTCACTGTGGCAAGTCACAGGACGCCTGCGCCTACAGAGACCATGGATGGCTTGCGCTGCACCACCCACAGCTCCATCCACACACCCCATATCCAGTGTAAACCCGAAGGAATAAGACCGGGAGGCATGTGGATGGGAGCCACGTTTCATCAACGGAGCCGGCCCGCACTCCTTCGCAGGCAAACACAAGCACGCTGTATGTGGGAAATCAAGCGCACACAAAGCGGTGGCTGGACGGTAGTTCGCTCCACACTGAGCGCTTGCAACCACTCTTCCAGGCTAGCACGACCACCAGGACCGTGCACCCCGTCCCCTCCAGCAACGACCCACCATCTCCTGAAGCCACTGTAGACGAGGTAGTGGGTACTAGAGAGATAGGAACCTTGTCAACATGGACATCAAGCGCAGCCACAACTGGGATGTCAAACAACGGCCAATTATCCGAAATGCCGATATCAAATAAAAGACATCGAAGAAAGTAAACCTATATGACGACATAAATACTCGCTAAATTAGCATATGGAGTTAATTGGTTATACGAGAATCCGCGATAAGTACAAAATATCCGAAAGTTATTTAGAAATTACCACGTGATAAAGCTACGCAAGGTTACCACAATTAGCATGAGCGACATGTGCAAGTTAGGAGAAGATTATCAAATACGCAGAACAAACCAAAGTGGAATGAATTTTATCCATATTAAAAAGACCTAGTTTAATGTAAGTGGATTTAGCCCAACCGCGGTGAAGAAGCATCATGAATGCTACATCTGCTTCAGGATATATATATATATATATATATCCTGAAGCTGATGTAGCATTCATGATGCTTCTTCACCGCGGTTGGGCTAAATCCGCTTACATTTAAACTAGGTCTTTTTAATATGGATAAAATTCATTCCACTTTGGTTTGTTCTGCGTATTTGATAATCTTCTCCTAACTTGCACACGTCGCTCATGCTAATTGTGGTAACCTTGCGTAGCTTTATCACGTGGTAATTTCCAAATAACTCATTGGTAATACGTCGCGCATCAAGCAGAAGTCATGTATTAAAAATTGCGCACCTAATCGCCAGCCCTCGGTAGCACAGTGGTAGAGCAGCGGACCGGAAATTCGTTGGACCGGAGGTTCGGTTCCCCGTCGAGGCACATTATTGTGTATGAATTTTAATCGTGACCTACTTTCTACGATATATTCATGCATGCATGCAGAGAAGAAGCAGCAAGTGCGGAAGCGGCAAGCAACGATGGGTTGTACTCCATCGACATCGAGCGCATGGTGCTGTAGCACCTTCGGTCGCGAGTACCTGAGTCAGGCAGGCTTAGTGAGCCATGAGCGAGGCCACTCGGGACCACTACCGAAGCGACGACGAGTCTTGCAGAGAACGTAGGCGTTTGTAAGTACGCTGCATTCGATTTAGTAACCGCGTGCATGCATGGTAAGGCTCCTTATTTCAGATGGTGGGTTTTCTATGTTGTCCTAATGCTTTTCTTTCTCATATAAATGTCTACCTGTACTCTCTTCTATAAACTTGCACACGTCGCTTAAGCCAGTTGTAGTAAATTTCGATAACATTTTCGCGCTTGTGGCATTTCCGTAAAATATACTTTCTGACCTCGTGAACTTACCTCCGATCCTTTGTAAACAACTTATTTCATATGCTCATTAATCTAATACTTTTGTCACGTTTCCTTATGCACTGCTCGATTTGTTTTCTTTGTTACCTTTCTCTCAAGTGATTGGCTGTTGCTTGATATCCCCGGTATGGTTGCGCTTGATGTGCATGTTGACAAGGTGCCTACCTGTCTATTACCCACTACCTCGTCCATACTGGCTCTAGGAGACAGTTGGTCGTTGCTGGAGGGGACGGGGTGTACGGTCCTTGTGGTCGTTGTTAGGATCAAAGAGTGGTTCCATGCACTCAGTGTGGAGCGGACTACGGTCCAGTCACCGCCTTGTGTGTGCGCTTGATTCCCCAAATACAGCGTGCTTGTGTTTGTGTGTGAAGGAGTGTGGGCCGGCTCCGTTGATGAAACGTGGCTCCCATCCACATGCCTCCTGGTGTTATTCCTTTGGGTTTACACTGCATATGGGGTGTGTGGATGGAGCTGTGGGTGGTGTAGCGCAAGTCACCCATGGTCCCTCTGTAGGCGCAGGCGTCCTGTGGCTGGCCACAATGACAGGCAAATCCGAAACCGGATGCCGCCAAACATATATATATATATATATATATATATATATATGTATATATATATATATATATATATATATATATATATATATATATATATATATATAATCCGACCCACAGATTATGATTATTGGAAAGTAGATTACAGGTGTGTTGCATCAGTTTGTGATCTCTTATTTAGATCTTTCATTCTCTCAGACTATTACGCTTGATTTGCTTTGCGTCGAATTTGTAGGGAACGGCACAAACCTTGCTCGCTGTATCACGTGCAGCTTTCCTTCTGCCACGTTCCAACTGTAACGTAGAAGTACGCCGCCTAGACAGCGTTTGCTTGGCAAGTATTGAGCTCGAAAGGTGGATAGGGCGATTTCGCTGCAGGCGTTTCGTCACCAAACTAAGATGATCGCCATTTGTGAAAGTTGCACAGCTTGATAACGAGACGTCAGCCACGATGTCACGCCTCACGGAAATCATTTCAATAGCAACTGGATGCTTTCTTTTTGGAGTCGTTATTTGTTATTCCTGATTGTGCCTCCTGTTATTCATGTCAGATTTGTACGGGTAATAACTTTTGCTAGCCATAAAATTGTATTTAGGACTAGATTTACGAAACTTTTCACTTGTATTAACTTCAATCTGTTTATAGGCGAAAAAGAAACCCATGGTTGTGAAAAAACTTTCCGACTTAGGCATTGACTTGATCTCACATATTGAGGTCCTCAAGGTTGAAGATCCTCCAGTTCGCTCCCCTGGTCTCATGGTGGATTCAGTGGATACTTTGATCTCCAAGCTGAGAGAGAGAGGAGTAATCAGCTGACAACTAGACGTGCCGAACAACATTACTTTTCTCTGCAGCCTCTTCCATTAATTCGTGGCTTTTGATCTCTTTTTCTACACGTGTCGTTTTTCTTACTTTCTCTACTCCAACATTATTTGATTTTGAATACAAGAGCACGGATCATAGAAGGACTATTTTTGATGTGAAGCTTAGGAGCAGGTCCTAAAACAACTTTTATGAACCCGTATTCTTTGGATCTTCAATGCGGTCCGACATGACCAATCCAGTCCTCCGAGATCTGCCTAGTAGCATATCTATGAAGGATTCCGCATTGTTCTTTGGCGATTTTCAACGCTGACTCTTCGCACTACGCTATGCTTGAGAGAGGAAGTTCACACCATTTAAGACATGGTTCTATCTAGACAGTCGGCGTCGTAACGCTGATTTTGAGGGAATGCAAGATGGCCTTCATCTTAACCATTCAACTTCTATCATCTGTTCACATACTCTCAGTGTTCATTGCATTTAGGCTGGGCGTTAACATGATGCAATAGTTTGCGTACGTCGGTGAACTATGGGGTCACGCTGAAGAGCGGCACTTTTCAAGTGTTTTCCGAGCCACTCATCTCACACAGAGAAGGTGGGTTCAGGCTCAACATCCTCCTCACTGGAGATGGGGGGGGGGGAGGCCGATAGTTCTATTCCTTCAGACCTAGCTGGGAACGGCAACACTTATGAGTTTAGCTTACTTCGCATAGAGATGAGTACCACATGTTGCCTCTGACTGTGTGGGACATTCCCTTTTACTTAATGGCTTTCTATCGCTCGCCCCAAACCAGATACCTATTATTCACAAAGGTGCAAACTCAGCAAGTATCACCTGCAGTTGACCTGAGCCTCAACTGTGTCTTGTTATATTGTCGAATAATACACGTGAATTGTTCTGAACCTACCAGGATCGCGTGCGATCAACCTCAGGCAGATCCTAATGAGACTCGGCAGTCATACTCGGACTTGACCTTCTTCCCGCTGCTCTGCAGGTGGGGCTACTGAGCCACAGGTTTCGGATATAGTCCATCAAGGGGATCTCCACTTAGTCCACCATCCTGTGGATCAAGCTGTTGGGTCAAAAAGACATCAGCAGTACCGAGGCTTCGCTGCCGCGCAATCACCATCAGTCGTACATGGGTTAAGGATACTGCGAAGATCTCCCAGTATTTGCGCAAGCTCGAAGCCGCGCCCTCAGATTACAAGGCAGGCTTGTTATCCTTGAGACTACGGGCCGACAATTAGATCGAGACCGCTCTCTCGGAATTGACATGGGATTATCATCCGCGCCATTCGTAACCTTTCATTTTCTGAAATTGTGGTGGAATTCGTCACGACAAGCGCCCACCCACACTGACCCCAGGAATACTGCCCACTCTGTCCCATCAACGGGGATATGACGACAGAATGTAGACTTGTTACTGTTCACCGACCTCGTGAAGCAAATAAACAAAGTAATGAGGAACATTTTCTATGAAAAGTACTCAGGCAAGTGGTTCATGCGCATCATTCTTCTTTCAGCGCGTTGATCTGGCAATGAGGCTTTTTAAAATGGGTGGGGCGCCGCAGAGTGGAGCCTATCAAACAAACATGTACAGTCTCTGAACCCGTACGGAGGCAATAACAGCGCTCCGGTACTTTGTACTGGTGTTACGCCAAAATACAGTCGCAAATAGCTATTCGCGGAATGAGTTATTACACGTAAAATCAAGCCTGCAGCAGTTGAAAACCAAAGATTTGAATCTCAATACCGCGGATTCGTAGAGTTAATCCCTGAGGGTTGGAGCACATCATATGTGTGCCCTCAAATCGCTGACGGTTCACCGAAATCTACAGTTTTATCTAGATATCATAGGCGTCCCGCAGAAGTTTCCATGAGTTATTTAACTTAGTGGAGGGCGTCAAGTGGATTAGTGGGGGAACATTAGTAAAGTTGATAATACCGGCGGCTGATTTGTAGCCAAAAGTGCGAATGGTGGAGCGCGGCAGGCCCTGGACTATGATAACGAAATCTCGCCCTCATAACGAGAGGAATATTGGTGGGTAGCGAAGTTTGCCAAACCCAGTGCACGCGGCAACTGATTGGGAGACGTGGCAGTGATGCAAGCGAGTTTGTAGCTGAAAAGAGGCGAAAAGGAACTGATCGGGTCGAACTGGAGTACTTTGACTGTCACAATGCACTACATTCAAACCCACAGTTGGTTTTGGCATCTAGGAAGGTTGAGAACACTATCCTAACGTGAAGTTCATAGTGTCGGGTGCTCCGCTTGCAGTAAGTTGGCGCACTGGATAACATGTAATTACGTAAATGACATTAGCAACATGGTAACTGACGGAGGCTTGATTGTTGAAAAAAGCATAGAATCTGTGACTCTCATCTCTCTGGATTGTACGCAACAGCTTACAGAGAAGACAACTGGAATGATCGTTTGAGTAACCAACGCCAATCGCTTAGGCTTTGTATTATGTCCATGTTCACTGGTGAGTGAAAATGACGCAGCGTTCGATTAAGAACCACTCGTGGTTGTGTGAACCGTATTGTAGACACCGGTCGCGTGTTGTCTAGCAGAACGCCTTGACTAGGTTCCAGGCTATCCTCACTCATCATGGCGATATAGTGGCCGTAGTGTTATGGACAAAGTACTACTGTGCCATAGACTAAGTGTTTTTAACGTATCAAAATAGACGCCATTTGTCCTCGACTATTGCCGAAGAATGTCTCGCAATTTCATCACGCGGAATATGAGCGATCGATAAATTTTGCCCAGAGTTGCACGGAACAAAGTCAGTTTACCTCGACTTGACTGCGGCATGTAATTCACGAAACAGTTGCTGCTGCGATCATGCTGTTTGTTGAATTCAGCAAGTGGGCAGCATCTTTGTACACACGATAGGATTGAGTTCTATTATAAGAATTAGATATTCTAGTGTCAGGTAGTATGAAAACTGATCACGTCTGCCAGTTTGTTTGACGTGAGCCGCTTTTGGTGGGTTGCGCAATATCTGGAACATGCTGTATATTACGGAATATAGGCCGATGATTTCTGGACAATTTTTCGTTGCTGTAGAAGGGGGGTCGGCTTACAAAAAGTCTATACGGAATTTGAAAAGTCACTTGCAAAATCCACCTAGGAGTTCACAGCCCTTATCTCCAGACGGGGATTTAAATCGCCTATAACTGGACTTGTTAATTTTGCGTCGGAAATTCTCGGTAGATCGCAACAGCGAATCAAAAGCCCTTAGGCCCAGGCGATCCAGTGACTTAAAAGCATAACATCGCCCCACGACCCTAACCGTGAACTTTGCTCTCACCCATGCCCTACTGTGGTTCATGTGCATGAAGCCACTGACTATGCGAGGCGGCCTAGCTGACACACCTTCTCACCTTACCATATATTGTCGGATGTTTTATCTGTTTCATGTGACTTTACTGTCCGGTGAGGTGAAGTCTGTTCTGACGGCCCTACGCCTCATTAACTGCGATTATAACAATCCTGTCACCACAACTGACCAAAAGTAGAGCAGGTTTCATTTGACCTCACTCAATTGAAAGCATGTAGTGATGACGTTAAAATTGAGGCGAAAAAATTTCGTTTCTCTTTTGCTGATTTGTAGGGGTCGGCCAACACAAGGATTTTGGACAAATCTGATGTTGCTAAGTTATACTGTCGGCTTATCTATGGACAGACTTATATTCGGTAACATACGGTATGCTAGACGACCGGGCATCCTGAAGGTTAAATACTGTTATGTCACAAACTTGGATCACCGGGCCATGGATGACGAGATCCAGCAGGTCGAACACAACCGTCTAATGCTTTCCAGGCTGTGGAGGACTATCTAATTTGGAACCTGGTGCGACGAGCTCAGTGTTTAATATTTAACTATCTGTAACTAGACCGTTGTAGAAATGCGAATCCGGAAATGTTTCAGACTCGAGGTCCTTCAGGAATGGCTCTGCGATAAGACCCATGGAGATTTGTGCAACGTCAACCGCGAATCGCGAGAGCATGAAAATGAACACAAAACGAACAGTAATGATCCACGTGAAAAGTCTCACCCATGAACAAGATACGACAATCTTAAGGGGAGGACGGTGCAAGCGCGCAATTGTCCACGCGACGTTACCATTGCGCTGACCAAGCAGAATTCTTGTGAAAGTAGGATGTCTTTCGATGTCCGCTTCGTACACTTTCATCGTCACCTATTTGTGTTTGAATACTGTGCTTGTCCATCGAGTGGTGTGTGGGCGAGACCCACCAACATTCGTAGGTTTTTAGTACCAGATTACCACCGTACATCCGTTTGCCAACTATTATAATCGCGAACTATTATAATCGACCAGCTCGAGATGCAATTTAGCCTCTAATCGTGCACAGATCAACGCGCAAGACTCAAAAGAACAAGTGTAAAGTCATATTTTATAATAGCGCTTTTCCGTCCTACTGTCAAAGATTTTGTGTACAATGAAAGCATTCTCAGCGTCACCCTGAGGAATGATCTGGTTCATGAAAAATATACGTGGAATTAAGGGGAGGGACGGGTGACACTGCTGTAGAAATGTCAACACCATCGGTACAAGGGAAAGGTCGCACAGGGTTGTTGGAGATCACATCTGACTCCGTAACGATCGGGCGGTATCCCGGATCAAAAGGGATTTTGCGCAGAAAACAAATTTCTTTTTTCAAAGCCAGTATTTGAGCGTGCAGAATGATATTGGATTTTTCCAGATAGTTCGCTCGAAGCGCTATGAGATCTTCACGCCGTTTTCGGTTATCCCTAGAGCGTTTAGCCGCCATGTTGTTACGTAAACGACGCTGTAGATATCGTTGATCCTTCTGGTCCTTTGTTTTGGATGCATCCGATGATGAAGAAGGAGACGGAACATCAGTGAAACCAACGAGAATATTTTCCTTACTGAGGGGATCCGGGTTTCCATGTAGATCGAAAAGACTAAGAGCAAGCCGGTCGATCCTACATCTAGAATTGTAGTTTCTGTTTTTCGCTATACTTTTACAGCTCGAAGTGTCAGAAGAGAAGGGAGTTATGTCGCAATTAGAAAGCCGAGAACGTTGAGGGACATGATTATCACCCACAGGGTTGGGGAGCAACGTGACCATGTTGTCGGGTACAACGGAAACCGACGGATCATCAAAACTGTAAGCTTCAGCGTGGGTCTGTGGACCTAAGGGAGCAGAGAATGGACGCATAGAATTTCCATTGTTGAAGAATGGTTGATAGGGAGAATGATTGTAGAAGTGATCTGGGGGACACGTGGACATCGTCAGGCGCAGACGTCGCCCCTCCACTGAATTGCATCGGGAATCTTGAAGGGGATTATGTGAACGGAATCCGATGGTAGACGGGTCCATGAAAGAGACAATCGCTTTGGTCCAGCAAAACGGTGAAAAATAGATGGCTCTGTAAAAGAACAGACAAATGGTCAAGTTCCTAGTAAACACATGCACACATTTTGAAACATGTCCGTTATCGAATAGAAGCAGAGCATCATGGTAGACAAGCTGAGTATCCGCGTACATGAGTCTAACGAAAGCCAGCAACATAGTAACGTGAATCCACATGGACGCTAAACCTTGTGACAGAGGACTACAATTCCCGCGCTGTTGGAAACTACGCCATCCACAATGGAGTGAAAACAGCATACTCGGAAGGAACTGAGTGAGTACCTACAAGTACCAATGCAACTTATTCAATTTTGTTTGTCATTAGGAAACCTGTCTACTCTTCACATATTTAGTATTCGCGTCCCCCAATAAGGCGATGAGCGAGAATAGCTGTACGTTTGCTCGAACCGGCGTCAAGCTGATACCCACGTGAATAGGGCAAGCGTTACGATCGCAATACTTGAGTCAGCTCCGTTCAGTATAATAAGACCATCATGATTTGATCACAAACCGTACAGCAAAAGCTACTCTCCGCCACCTGGGGCGCCGACAAGACGCCACTCTCGTCCTGAATGGCAGAGTTTACAATGCAGACGTCCGTTCAACCCTCCAGTACGGTTGTGAAACCTGGCCCATCAGATCGACAGACATAAACAGGTCAACTAAGTTCGACCATCGTTGCATTCGAAACTTAGGTCATGTCTAGTGGGAGCACCGCGTGAGCAATGAATGTGTTCGGCGTCACGTATTTGGTGCAGGAAGAGCGAGTGATCCGCTCAGCACCATTATATCACCCACCAGGTTCCAATGGCTGGGCCACGTGTTGCGCATACCAGCCCACCGACTGCCGCGACTTGCGTTGTTTGCGAGCCCAGGGTCCAGATGGAAGAACGAGGGGAGACCAAGCAATGACTAGGTCAAGAGGAATGAAAACCCTCACTTTGAAGTTGGTGGATCCCCAATGCCGGGCTGGGGTCTGAAGGACGATGAACACTTTTGGTTGGACACACTCGTTGACATGGCTAGGAGCCGGCCCCCTGGCGTCTGTGCTGAGTTTCACTGTCTATCCCCCTCCAATCACGATCTCATAGCAAATTAATAATAAGATATGGAGCCTCATATTACTTGATTTTTGGATTTTTAGTGTTGTTAATATCTTATCTTTCTTTATTGCGACACATTAGCGGAGGCGTTTCTCCTCCTCAGCTAATGTGTATTGATGATGATGATGATGATGGTCGCAGACATGGGGTAAGCGCAACTACGATGACGTGTCACCATGATAACAGCCGTTAAGAATGTTGAGTGGAAGGGCATAGCCATCTCAATACAAAGCGAAAACGGGAAAGGTAAGCGGGGTTTGATGTAGACAGGTGGGTGCGTAAAATAGAACGCACAGACGCCACTGTTTTCACATCTGCACCATGGAGATTAAGGTTACCGAACATCTCCATATTCCAAATCTTTTCCATAAGCCTCTCAGTCAACTCCGTCACTCATCTACTACTTTATCGACTGGCTATCTTGTTGTTTCATCGAGGTTTACACAGCAATGGCGTGCGATACAAGCCTACCAAGGTGCTCAACAGGCGTACCAGAGCTATAGCCCGGCCGATGTAAGCATTCCAAATGCAACAGACACTTCAAAAAAGCGCATTAGTCCCTTTCCGATCACCAAATCGTAGGCTGCGGTATCCCTGATTAGGTGCTCACGCTAGATATGAGCAACATTCCAAAAGTGCCTCTGGTTAAACATGACTAGTTTCCTGATACCTTCACTGCAACGTGGCTATGTATCACATGTACAGATAGCACATGTTGGTTGGTGTCGGCCCGCAGCGTTAAGGATCGCAAGCCTGTCTCGTAATCCGAGCGCGTAGGTTCAAGTCTGCTTAGGGACCGGGCGACACCCGCAGTATCTTTACCCCACATACGACTGGTGATGGTTGCGTGGCAGCTAGTACGCCAGTACTGTTTGCACCTTAAACAACTTACCTTGTGAAAAGGGCTGATGGACAACTGTCTCTTATGGAGACGGAGATAAGCGATGTAATCTCGGGGATTTGGTCAACAGAGGCAATACTTACACACAAACAAATGATTCAAATGGCAACTAGGAATGGCTGTTCGGCGACAGGCGGAACTGGTGCCATATCGGGACTTATAAGGCGTGAAGGATGTACGGAAATGTGAGGCGCACTGAGCGTACTTGGCCGGTCTGGGTGCGGGTAAGTTACCCAGCAGAATTTCCATTCCGGAAAGATCGGCCACCATGACCATTTTGATCATGAAGTGGAAGATAAATCACAATATCGTGTTACCATAGCGCATGTCAGAAGAAATGTGGAACTTGGCAGACAGCTTCCCGCGGAGCTTGTTGTCCTGGAGAGTCACGCCCGAGATTTCGAAATCAAAAGGAAATTTTCCGACGCCACTTTCAGAGACAAGAGATACAGTAAGTTGTTAACTAGCAGTTTCACCCAAATTGGTGCAGCGACGGCGCATAATGCACTGCGTCAGTCAACGGGCGTACGGAGGACATGACCAAACCAAGGTGAGGTTAAGCTCTACTAAACACTCCAGAGAGGCACCAGAAGGCTTCTTGCGTAAAATAATCAGCCAGCGGATCCCAGCAATGCCCACCCGGTGTTCCCACCAAATGTGAGCAATATTCGGCAAGCACAAGTGGTCAAACACGGTCGAGCTCTTAATGTATTCACTCCAAACAGGCCAAGTCTCTGACACATGCAGGGTAACATCACCAGTATCGCAGCAACATACAACATCTAACCTTTCACTGATAACCGGATATCCCGCCGCCTCTAAAAATGGTTGAGACTCTGGAAGGCCACACGATCCATGCTGATACGCGAAGTAACAGAAAATACAGAACTACCGAGGTAAGTAAAAAAAAATCCACCACTTCTAGTGCCTGTTCACTGTTAGACAGAACAGGTGGCGTATCGGTCAAGCCCTGCAACAGTACATTGCACATTGAAAGTGCAAGGTACATGCCGAAGCGTGCGATGCTTCGCGTCAGCCTGTTCAGCAATGGTTGCACAGCTACTATGTCAGATCCAAGGAGAGTAATGTAGTCCGTATACTCAAGGTTTGTAAGTCGGTCACTGTATAGATTGAAAGAACTGAGTCATACATGAACATTTCGATCACAGTTGAAGAGGAAGACGAAAACAGGATGACCTGGTGGGGCTCAGGCTACAGCCTCCCGTAGACCCTTACACGATCTCAAGAACTACATTAAAGGCTTCAAAATGGACAGGCAGTGTCACAAGCCGGCGCGGTCAGCAGAGTCGAAGGCGACTTTCAAGTCAAGTGTTACTGCTCTAACATTTGGCGAAGAGTAAATGTGGTCGAAACAACCACGACTAGGGGGTAGCCAGCTTGGCTTGCAATGATTCGGCTCTGATGAGGCGCAGAAAGTCGTCGAAAGATGATACCTGTGAGAAACTGGAAGTAATGGAAATGAGACTATTGCCTCGACGCTTTTCGCACAAAATATGCCGACTCTTCTTGGAGATGAGTACGACAGTCGTCAGTCCGAAGGCACCTCTTCAGTGTCAGATCGAGCTAAGTGGCAAAGCAAATCTAGTCAACAAAGAATCAACTCCATCATCCAATAAAGAGAGGAAGGTTGTCGGGTCCAGGAACCTTGTTTCGTCTCAACACAGCGAGCTCATACCGAATCTCTTCTGAAGTGGGAGGTGTGACCAACCGCCCTAGTGAGCTCAGGTGATTCAACAAGCCGCAGTGTCGAAACAGGCATGATAAACTGCACTTTAAAATATTCCGCCTAACGGTGTGGTCGGTGCGGCTGAGAATGGACCAACTGTCTACCTTTCTCGGCTGTTGTCTCACAAAGTGAGGGCTTTCTCAGACCTTTGTTCTGAATGAGCTGGGATGGCACTCGGTTGTTCCCAATGGTACTGCCTCGACTATCTCACGGGACGTTCCCATCCATCAAGATTTCCGGTCGATTCGAAGGCTCCTTGTCAGTTGTCGTTGCAGGGAGTTACGCACACATTGAAACGCAGTACCTATTAGGACATGTCCCTATGCTTCGATCTAACTGGTCGATAACTCAGAGATCCATTCACAGTTGGGTGAACAGCAAGCGTCAAACACATTCTTTATGGCACACATAAGATGATTACAGTTAGCTTTCGGCTCACAAACCCCATTCACTGATGACAATCTGTGGGTCAGTTCGTCATGATATTGTTGAAGTGCAAACTGCGAGTTCAAGTTACAAGTTGTATTAGAATTTAGGCGCTTCTTTGAAGCGGAAAAAGTGAGCTCCAGGCATGCACTCACTGCAGCATGGTCGGAGTTCAGGCAAGTACTCCAAATTGACCGACAGCCTTGGAGTGATGTGCGCCATCTATGGCTGATGGCAACTTGGTCAATTTAGGTCGAGGTCATAGTGCAATTCGGTGATCGTCAGGTGACGTGACATGAACGTCTGTGATGGAAAGCAGTGCTGCTAAGGTACAAGTTTTGGTCGGCGCACAGTGGCAGGAATCGATTGCCATTGTCTGTTCGGCCTGCATCGACTCCGAAGCGGCCTCCCACGAGTTGCTCAGTTTGAAAATGGCCCAATAGGGCATTCAAGTCGCCAGCAATAATCTGGATGTATTTTTTGGTATACACTGTAGAGATGAAAGATGTTGATACAAATCAGCTGTGATGCCCTCGGAACTGTAGATAGTAGGAGCATGAACGGAAGCGATGAAAAGGCACACTGCATCCAGACGGTGCTTAGTAACCCAATTGAGGTTTGAAGTCGAACCGCATACACGCCGCTGTTCATCGGCATCTAGTCGAGTAGATAGCTGTCAGCATGTTTTCTGAGGGCGATACCAACACCGTAAACACCTTGAGGTATTGACTCAGTAACGCCAAAGACACGAAGAATGTAGTCACTGTCGTCACACTCAGAACCAGGGAATCGGAGATTCGTCACAACGCCGCTATCTTGTACGCGTGTTTCGGAAACAG